TATGTCCTGAATGGTATTGCCTAGGTTTTCTTCTAGGGTTTTTATGGTTTTAAGTCTTATGTTTAAGTCTTTAATCCATCTTGAGTTAATTTCTGCATAAGGTGTAAGGAAGGGGGCCACTTTTAGTTTTCTGCATATGGGTAGCCAGTTTTCTCAACACCATTTATTAAATAGGGAATCCTTTCCCCATTGCTTGTCTTTGTCAGGTTTGTCAAAGATCAGATGGTTGTAGATGTGTGGCGTTATTTCTGAAGTCTCCGTTCTGTTCCTTTGGTCTATATATCTGTTTTGGTACCAGTACCATGCTGTTTTTGCTACTGTAGCCTTGTATTTTTAATAGAGATGGGGTTTTATCCTGTTGGCCAGGCTGGTCTCAAACTGGTTTGAAGTTAGGTAGCTTGATGGCTCCAGCTTTGTTCTTTTGGCTGAGGACTGTCTTGGCTATACGGGCTGTTTTTTGGTTCCATATGAGGTTTAAAGTAGTTTTTTCTAATTCTGTGAAGACAATGGGAGCTTGATGGGAATAGCATTGAATATATAAATTACTTTGGGCAGTATGGCCATCTTCATGATATTGATTCTTCCTACCCATGAGCATGAAATCTTTTTCCACTCATTTGTGTCCTCTTTTATTTTCTTGGGCAGTGGTTTGTAGTTCTCCTTGAAGAAGTCCTTCACATCCCTTGTAAGTTGTATTCCTAGGTATTTTGTTCTCTTTGTGAGAATAAATGCAATTGTGAATGGGAGTTCACCCATGATTTGGCTCTTTGTTTGTCTATTACTGGTGTATAAGAATGCTTTTAATTTTTTCACATTGATTTTGTATCCTGAGACTTTGCTGAAGTTACTCACAAGCTTAAGGAGGTTTTGGGCTGAGTCGATGGCATTTCCTAAGTATAGGATCGTGTTACCTGCAAACAGAGCATTCTGTAGATGTCTATTAAGTCCACTTGATCCAGAGCTTAGTTCATGTCCTGAATATTCTTGTTAATTTTCTGTCTTCTTGGTCTAATATTGACAGTGGGGTGTTAAAGTCTCCCACTATTATTGTGTGGAAGTCTAAGTCTCTTTGTAGGTCTCTAAGAACTTACTTTATGAATCTGGGTGCTCCTGTATTGGATGCATATGCATTCAAGATAGTCAGCTCTTCGTGTTGCATTGATCTGTTTACCATTATGTAATGCCCTTTGTTTTTGTTTTTTTTTTTTTATCTTTTATCTTTGTTGGTTTAAAGTCTGTTTTATCAGAGACTAGGATTGCAATCCCTGCTTTTTTTTGCTTTCCATTTGCTTGGTAAATATTTCTCCATCCCTTTATTTTGAGCCTATGTATGTCTTTGCATGTGAGATGGGTCTCCTGAGTAGAGCACACTGATGGGTCTTGACTCTTTATCCGATTTGCCAGTCTGTGTCTTTTAATTGGACCATTTAGCCCATTTACATTTAAGGTTAATATTGTTATGTGTAAATTTGATCCTGTCATTATGATGCCAGCTGGTTATTTTGCCCATCAGTTGATGCAGTTTCTTCATGGTGTCTATGGTCTTTATATTTTGGTATGTTTTTGCAGTGGCTGGTACTGGTTTTTCCTTTCCATGTTTAGTGCTTCCTTCAGGAGCTCTTGTAAGGCAGGCCTGGTGGTGACAAAATACCTCAGCATTTGCTTGTCTGTGAAAGATTTTATTTCTCCTTTAGTTATGAAGCTTAGTTTGGCTGGATATGAAATTCTGGGTTGAAAATTCTTTTAAGAATGTTGAATATTGGCCCCACCCTCTTCTGGCTTGTACAGTTTCTGCAGAGAGATCTGCTATTAGTCTGATGGGCTTCCCTTTGTGGGTAACCCAACCTTTCTCTCTGGCTGTCCTTAACATTTTTTCCTTCATTTCAACCTTGGTGAATCTGATGATTATGTGTCTTGGGTTGCTCTTCTTGAGGAGGATCTTTGTGGTGTTCTCTGTATTTCCTGAATTTGAATGTTGGCCTTTCTTGCTAGGTTGCGGAAGTTCTGAATGATATCCTGAAGAGTGTTTTCCAACTTGGTTCCATTCTCCCTGTCACTTTCAGGTACACCAATCAAACGTAGATTTGATCTTTTCACATAGTCCCATATTTCTTGGAGGCCTTGTTCATTCCTTTTCATTCTTTTTTTTTTTTTTTCTCCAATCCTGTCTTTATGCTTTATTTCATTCAGTTGATCTTCAATCTCTGATATCCTTTCTTCGGCTTGATTGATTCAGATATTGATACTTGTGTATGCTTCACTGAGTTCTCGTGCTGTGATTTTCAGCTCCATCAGGTCATTTATGTTCTTCTCTAAACTGGTTATTCTAGTTAGCAATTCCTCTTTTTATCAAGTTCTTAGCTTCCTTGCATTGGGTTAGAACATACTCCTTTAGGCTGGAGGAGTTTGTTATTACCCATCCTCTGAAGCCTACTTCTGTCAATTTGTCAAACTCATTCTCTGTCCAATTTTGTTCACTTGCTCGTGAGGGGTTGTGATCCTTTGGAGGAGAAGAGGCATTCTGGTTTCTGGGATTTTCAGCTTTTTCTGTGCTGGTTTTTCCTCATCTTCGTGGATTTATCTACCTTTGGTCTTTGATGTTGGTGACCTTTGGATGGAGCTTATGAATGGATGTCCTTTTTGTTCATGTTGATGCTATTGCTTTCTATTTGTTAGTTTTCCTTCTAACAGTCAGGCCTCTCTGCTGCAGGTCTGCTGGAGTTTGCTGGAGGTTCACTCCAGACTCTGTTTGCCTGGGTATCACCAGCAGAGGCTGCAGAACAGCAAATATTGCGGCCTGCTCCTTCCTCTGGAAGCTTTGTCCCATAGGGGCACCTGATGGATGCCAGCTGGAGCTCTCCTCTATGAGGTATCTGTTGACCCCTGCTGGGAGGTGTCTCCCATCACGGGGCACGAGGCTCAGGGACAGACTTGAGGAGGCAGACTGTCCCTTAGCAGAGCTCGAGTGCTGTGCTGGGAGATCCTCTGCTATGTTCAGAGCCAGCAGGCAGGAACTTTTAAGTCTGCTGAGGCTGCACCCACAGTTGCCCCTTCCCCCAGGTGCTCTGTCCCAGGGATGTGGGAGTTTTATCTATAAACCCTTGATTGGGGTTGCTGCCTTTCTTTCAGTGATGCCCTGCCCAGAGAGGAGAAATCTAGAAAGGCAGTCTGGCTACAGCAGCTTTGCCCTGCTGTGGTGTGTTCCGCACCCAGTTAGAACTTCCTGGCGGCTTTGTTTACACTGTGAGGGGAAAACGGCCTACTCAAGTCTCAGTAATGGTGGACGCCTCTCCCCCAGTCAAGCTCGAGTGTCCCAGGTCGACTTCAGACTGTTGTGCTGGCAGCAAGAATTTCAAGCCAGTGGATCTTAGCTTGTTGGGTTCCGTGGGTGTGGGATCCGCTGAGCAAGTCCACTTGGCTTTCTGGCTTCACCCCCTTTCCAGGGGAGTGAACAGTTCTGTCTCATCAGCATTCCAGGCACCACTGGGGTATGAAAAAAAAACTGCAGCCAGCTGGGTGTCTGCCCAAATGACCGCCCAGTTTTGTGCTTGAAACCCAGGGCCCTGGTGGTGTAGGCACCTGAGGGAATCTCCTGGTCTGCAGGTTGCAAAGACCATGGGAAAAGCGTAGTATCTGGGCCGAAATGCACCGTTCCTCATGGCACAGTCCCTCATGGCACAGTCCCTCATGGCTTCCCTTGGCTAGGGGAGGGAGTTCCCCGACCCCTGCACTTCCTGGGTGAGGCGACGCCCCACCCTGCTTCGGCTTGCCTTATGTGGGCTGCACCCACTGTCTAACCAGTCCCAATGAAATGAACTGGGTACCTCAGTTGGAAAAGCAGAAATCACTCTCCTTCTGCGCTGGTCTCACTGGGAGCTGCAGACCAGAGCTGTTCCTATTCGGCCATCTTAAACTCTGTCCCAATGTTGATTTAAGTATATAAATCTTTCCCAAGCCCCACGGGTATTCCCACATAATATACCTCATGTAGTTGCTGAAATAATTCAGATTTGTATGAATATAGTTTCTTTCAAAACCAAGATGACAAACCAAGCCATCAGCCTGTTTCATTTCTCCAACAGACTCACTTTGTAGTCCACAGGAACCTGGCATTTTAAGTAAATTGTAATCAGCACCATAACCTTCTCTGTATCTTGGAGACTCACCTGGCCACCATTTCTTTCTCCTTATGAGAGGCGTATCCGCTGCTGCTAAGGGGCTTCAGAGGGGATGACAAGAAGTAGAGGCGATGATTGGTGAAGTACTGGTCAACCAGCGGGAGGAGAACCTGGAAAACCCACCACAAATCAACTTCTAGGAAGCTATCCATAACTCTTCATTTGGTTCATTTAAAAGTGTTTATTTTCAGTGAGTGAAAAGCCTCTGAACCCTCGTCCTGTAATTTCCAGGAAATTCTACCCCTTTGGTCCCAGTTTCCATCACATTTTCCTTTTCTATGCCTCAAACCAGAGTCCTTGGGGGTATGTAAAAGGAGACAGTCATTGACTAAGGGCCCAAAGAAATGTGTGCGCATTTCCAGAGGAGTCCTATGGGACAGGTGCACTCAGATAGGGCTTATTGAGCACTGCATCCAAGAGGCACATCCAAGAGGTATGGCTTAGTGCCACTAGCCTCAAGCATTCTGTCTGCTTCGCAGAGCAAGGCAACTCAAGTCCTTCTGTGCCTTTAGTCCTCTGAGTAGGGCTGTATGGAAGAGACTGCTAACTAGCACCCAAATTCATTCTCCCCTTCTTCCTTTTGGCAACAGAATCCCACCGTGTTTTAGCTGGGTATAGAGCCACCCAGGCAGAAAATGTATCACCCAGTCTCCCTTGCAGCTAGATGAAGCGCGAATGGAACTTAAACAGGTCCTGTGCCTTTTCCTGGTCCCTGAACTTTTCCTTGGCATTCGAGGGGTCAGTAAGGTGAGAGATGACAAGTTCTAGCCATTGGGATAGAACTTTTAAAAAGCAACAGCTTGCCTTCCCTTCTCCTTTTCCCTTTCCCACAGATGCCGTGCAGGTGAGCCTGTTGAACCACGCACACAGGCAACACTTTCGGAGATGGTGGAGTGGCCAAGACAGGAAGAACCTGGATTCCCGGGTGATGGTGTGGGGCTAGGCAGGCTGCATACCTCTATGGACTGCCAGCCTCCCTTGGGACTGTCAAACAACAGAGAAATATACATGCACCTCACTGAAGCCACTGGAGTTTTAGATATCTTCATTGGATCCACTTAATCTGTTTCCTAAATAGTAGAGATCCTAAGAAGAAAGTAACTTGATTAAGTGCAGGGCCACTTACTTTGGCAAAGAATTTGATCTCCTGGTCATGAGGAGACTTTTCAGTTTTCCCACTGCTGACAATGGCTTCTACAAAGACACAGGTAACACAGAGTTGGCCAGAGTTACAAAGTACAAATCGGTCACAACATTTTAGAAACAGAGCAGCTTTCCTAAAGGCTATTAAAAAAGGCTATCTGATTTCACAAAATATATTTTACAACGTACTTTACAACTGTGCTGGTTAGTTATTTCTTGTGTCAATTCTTTAAGCTGTTTCACTACCCTTTTGTCTACTTTAACAATCAGAAAGCAGCTTCAAGCCTGGGTGTGATGGCTCACACCTGTAATCCCAACACTTTGGGAGGCTGAAGCAGGTGGACCACTTAAGGTCAGGAGTTCGACACCAGCCTGGACAACATGGTAAAACCTCATCTCTACTAAAAATACAAAAATTAGCCAGGCAGGTGTGGTGGCAGGCACCTGTAATCCCAGCTACTTGGGAGGCTGAGGCAGAAGAATTGCTTGCACCCAGGAGGCAGAAGTTGCTGTGAGCCGAGACTGTGCCACTGCACTCCAGTCTGGGCAACAAGAGCAAAACTCCATCTCAGGAAAAAAAAAAAAAAAAAAAAGACAGCAGCTTCAGAGAGGTTGAGTCATATGTCCACAGTCATAAAGCAAGACAACAGGAAAGTTAAAATAGGATAAGTTGAGTGAAAAAATGACAAAAGGTTCAATCACTCCACTAAAAAAACTAAGGAGTTTTTTTTTTCTTTTTTTTTTTTTTTTGAGATAGAATCTTACTCTGTCACCAGGCTGAAGTGCAGTGGCGCGATCTTGGCTCACTGCAACCTCTGCCTCCTGGGTTCAAGTGATTCTCCTGCCTCAGCCTCCCGAGTAGCTGTGACTACAGGCACACACCACCATGCTCAGCTAATTTTTTGGTATTTTTAGTAGAGATGGGGTTTCACTATGTTGACCAGGATGGTCTCCATCTTTTGACCTCGTGATCCTCCCGCCTCGGCCTCCCAAAGTGCTGGGATTACAGGTGTGAGCCACCGCACCCGGCTGGATTGATTTTTTTTAAAGTGGGGGGGAAAAATCTCAGCCACTGTTTTCCCCCTAAAATCATGCATCTAAATCAATCATAAAAAGTTACAGTCTGAAAGGATTACTTCTTGATAAAAGAATACTGAATTCTTTTGGGATATTTCATGGTGATACTTACCTAAATGGGCAATAAATTCTTGTGCCGAATCAACATATTTCAGGATCTTCTTCAAGAACTTATAGGCAAACCTCTTTTCCATGGAGGAGGCATCCAGCTCCATATCCTTCATACCCCTGCGTTGGACATGGACAGACCCCAGGAAGTAACAGACACAACCACGTCACTCAGGTGCACCACCAGTCCTACCAGTGTTAAATTTAATTTCCAAATGTTAGTGGTTATTCTGGCGTAGTGACATGACTCATCATTTGACTGATTTCCCCTGTCACTTGGAACCTGCCTGTGTGAGCACAGATTTTTCAGAAAGACCTTTATCATGCATACAATGAGTACTGAGCTGGGGATGTCTGAGGGGAAAACAAAAAATCTCTGCTTTTATGGAAAGAATTTACGTGCTAGCTGTAAACAGACAAAAACAAAATACAAATTAGATGGAATCTTAGAAGTTAACACATTTTGTGAGTAAAAGAAAAATTAAAGCAGAATGAAAAAGTCCAGAACTGGGGGAGTGAGGGTTTACGGACTGAAGTGTTAAATAGGGTAGTCAGGCTTGGTCTCACTTGGAGACTGATGCTGCATTAAAGGCTTGAAGGAGATGAGGAGGTGAGCCATATGGACATCTGGAGAAGGAGTTCTCAAGGCGGGGCGAGGAGACAGTGCAAAGGTCCTGAGGCAGGAGAACGCATGTTGTGTTGAAGGTTAGAGGGGTATGGGGTAGGAAGTGGGGACAATCACGTACGTCCCTATAGGCCATCCTTAGAATTTTGCTTTTGCTCTGAGTGAGAAGGGAAGCTATTAGAAGTTGTGAATAGAGAAGTGACATGATACGACTTGCATCATAACAGGATCACTCTGGTTGCTGTGTTTAAAATTGACTATCGTGGTGAGGCAAGTACAGAAGCAGAGAACACAGGCAGGAGGATGAGGACAGCATGAAGTGGGTGAGAAGTGGTCAAATTCTGGGTATTTTATTTTTGAGATGCAGTCTCACTCTGTCGCCCAGGCTGGAGCGCAGTGACATGATCTCGGCTCACTGCAATCCCCGTCTCCCGGGTTCAAGCAATTCTCTGCCTCAGCCTCCCGAGTAGCTGGGATTACAGGCACGTGCCATCATGCCTGGCTAATTTTTTGTATTTTTAGTAGAGATGGTGTTTCACCATCTTGGCCAGGCTGGTCTTGAACTCCTGACCTCACGTGATCCACCTGCCTTGGCCTCCCAAAGTGCTGGGATTACGGGCGTGAGCCACCGCGCCTGGCCTCTGGGTATATTTTAAAGGTAAAACTGCCAGGATTTCCTGAAGGATTGGATGTAGATTGGGAGAAAAAGAGGAGTCAAGGTTGTTTGCTTGAGAAGGTAGAAGAATGGCTTGCCATGGAGTGATGGGGAAGCTGAAGACAGAACAGGTCTGAGCAGGAGAGGGGGGAAGCCAGTATTTCTCCTTGGCTACAGGGACCTCACTTGATCACCTGTGCATCCAAATTCCTACCACAGGGTCTGGCACGTGGTAGACAACTGGTTCAGATATGTTTGCTGAATTCAATTATCTTTCTTCTTGATTTCCTCCTATTTCCTTGACTTCCTTTGTCATTACAGTAAATGGGAAATTTTCATTTCTGTGAGCAAGCTATTTATCAGCAAATCACACCACAGATTCATCTTGGTGTTAAGAACAGGATTAAAATGACGACGGGAGTCTATCTCGAATGCTTCCCCGGAGGCTATCTCCTGCTGCCTGACCTTTCCTGCTCGACAACATGGCAAATATGTCTTGTTATTTTTTTCATATGAGATACAATAGAATTGTTTTGTATAGATTTTTATTTTTATTTTTGCCATTCAATGGCAAACATTCTATAGGAAACTAGAAGAAACAGCAGCTTGCTCAGCAAATGTTTCTTTTAGGAAGAATGGCTATATCGGAATAAAAACACTGGCTTTTCATTTGACAAAGAACTCAGTAAGCATAATCCTATATAGCACAGCCCACCAGCACCATTAGACCAGGCAGAAAACAGTCTGACTTTAAGACTTGAGCAGCCAACGCCATCCTATATAAAACATTCATCTAGATGATTTTGACTTATGTAAGTTTGAGATAAAACATCTTAGGACATCATGATGCATTCAATCTCCCCAGTAAAGTTGTATCTTCATAAGAATCAATTCCCTTCGTTCCAAGACTGTTTATGTCAGTTATGCTTGCTATTATTACTATGTAATTTAATAAGATATCATATAAAACAAAATAAAAGTATGAAGAGAACTGCTGATTCTATAAAAACTAAGATGCATATTTTGTAAAGACCTGCAATTGCAAGCTTCCAAATATGTAATTTTTGAATTAGGTATGGGTGAGACAACTGTCAAAGATAAAGGAGGATATCTGAAAAATATCTAGGGTACTACGTAATCCTCCACATAACAGAACCAATGACAAAACCACATGATTATCTCAATAGAGGCAGAAAAGACCTTCAATAAAATTCAACACCCTTCATGCTAAAAACTCTCAATAAACTAGGTATTGATGGAACGTATCTCAAAATAATAAGAGCTATTTATGACAAACCCACAGCCAACATCAAATAAGATATCAAATGAGAGCTATGTATGACAAACCCACAGCCGATGGGCAAAAACGCGAAGCATTCCCTTTGAAAACAGGCACAAGACAAGGATGCCATCTCTCACCACTCTTATTCAATGTATTACTGGAAATTCCAGCCAGGGCAATCAGGTCAGAGAAAGAAATAAAGGGTATTCAATTAGGAAAAGAGGAAGTCAATTTGTCTGTTTGCAGATGACATGATTGTATATTTAGAAAACCCCATCGATGCAGCCCAAAATCTCCTTAAGTTGATAACTTCAGCAAAGCCTCAGGATAAAAAATCAATTTGCAAAAATCACAAGCATTCCTATACACCAATAACAGACAAACAGAGAGCCAAATCACGAGTGAATTCCCATTCACAATTGCTACAAAGAGAGTAAAATACCTAGGAATACAACTTACAAGGGATGTGAAGGACCTCTTCAAGGAGAACTACAAATCACTGCTCAACGAAATAAGAGAGGACACAAGCAAATGGAAAAACATTCCATGCTCATGAATAGGAAGAATTGATATTGAGAAAATGGCCATACTGCCCAAAGTAATTTATAGATTTAATGCTATTCCCATCAAGCTACCATTGTCTTTCTTCACAGAATTAGAAAAAACTACTTTAAATTTCATATGAAACCAAAAAAGAGCCTGTATAGCCAAGACAATCCTAAGCCAAAAGAACAAAGCTGGAGCCATCATGCTACCTAACTTCAAACTATACTACAAGGCTACAGTAACAAAAACAGCATGGTACTGGTACCAAAACAGATATATAGACCAAAGGAACAGAACGGAGGCCTCAGAAATAACGTCACACATCTACAACCATCTGATCTTTCACAAACCTGACAAAAACAAGCAATGGGGAAAGGATTTCCTATTTAATAAATGGTGTTGAGAAAACTGGCTACCCATATGCAGAAAACTAAAAGTGGCCCCCTTCCTTACACCTTATGCAGAAATTAACTCAAGATGGATTAAAGACTTAAACATAAGACCTAAAATCATAAAAACCCTAGAAGAAAACCTAGGCAATACCATTCAGGACATAGGCATGGGCAAAGACTTCATGACTAAAATATCAAAAGCAATGGCAACAAAAGCCAAAATTGACAAATGAGGTCTAATTAAACCAAAGAACTTCTGCAGAGCAAAAGTAACTATCATCAGAGTGAACAGGCAACCTACAGAATGGGAGAACATTTTTGCAATCTATCCATCTGACAAAGGGCTAATATCCAGGATACAAGGAGTTTAAACAAATTTACAAGAAAAAAAACAACCTCATCAAAAACTGGGCAAAGGCTTTGAACAGGTACTTTTCAAAAGAAGACATTTATGAAGCCAAAAAACATACAAAAAAAAAAAGTTTGTTATCACTGGTCATTAGAGAAATGCAAATCAAAACCACAATGAGATACCATTTCACGCCAGTTAGAATGGCGATAATTAAAAAGTCAGGAAACAACAGATGCTGGAGAGGATGTGGAGAAATAGGGATGCTTTTACACTGTTGGTGGGAGTGTAAATTAGTTCAACCATTGTGGAAGACTGTGTGGCAATTCCTCAAGGATCTAGAACTAGAAATACCATTTGATCCAGCAATCCCATTACTGGGTATATACCCAAAAGATTATAAATTACTCTACTATAAAGACACATGAACACGTATCTTTATTGTTGCACTGTTCACAATAGCAAAGACTTGGAACCAACCCAAATGCCCATCAATGACAGACTGGATAAAGAAAATGTGGCACATATTCACCATGGAATACTATGCAGCCATAAAAAAGGGATGACTTCATGTCCTTTGCAAGGACATGGATAATGCTGGAAACCATCATTCTCAGCAAACTAACACAAGAACTGAAAACCAAACAGAAAACCCAAACCAAACATGTTCTCACTCCTAAGTGGGAGATGATCAATGAGAACACATGGACACAGGGAGGGGAACATCACACACTGGGACCTGTTGGCGGGTGAGGGGCTAGGGGAAGGATAGCATTAGGAAAAATACCAAATGTAGATGACAAGTTGATGGGTGTAGCAAACCACCATGGCATGTGTATACCTATGTAACAAACCTGCACATTCTGCATATGTACCCCAGAACTTAAAGAATAATAATAATAAATCTAGGGCACTGCATGTACACTGTTATCATGTGCTGCAAATTATCACTGTTCTTTAAAGAAGCCCAAATTCCAAAACTTTGAGGTTGTATTATGGATGTCGTTTATAACGCCAATAAAGAGAATATACAAAGAAAGAGCCTTGGCCCATAGCACAAGATTTACGAACGAATGCATTTTTATATATTTTAAGTTACAATGAAATGTTTAAGGTATGTAGGTATAATTTGTAATAATTCTTTGTCACTTATCTTTAAAAATTAATACCTAACATTTCTGCTTATGTCAAAAAAAAAATAGACTCAATTGTTCTCCTTACTTGGATGGGTTTTGTAGGCAGGTAATTAAATACCTGGGGAGGCAGAGGCCACACCCACAGCCCTGTCCCACTAACATCACATGGAAGGTGACTTACCTGGAAACTATGACGCCATTCACTTGGAGGAACTTAAACAGGTCCTGTGCCTTCTCCCGGTCCTTGAACTTTTCTTTGGCAGTCAAGGTGTCATATGGTACCAGAAGAGGGTGACTGCCACCACCTGGGTCAGTAAGGTGAGAGGTGACATTTGGCTCTTCCTTTGCACTTCTGGGAGACCATACCCGCCCCGGTTCAGCTTCCTTAGGGGATGCCGTGAATCTCACTCACCTTTGCTCTCCAGCTCCAGCTTCTTCTTCTTGGCCCAGATATTGTGATAGTTCTCAGCCACGACCTCCACCATTCCCTGTGTCCCACCAAGAAGAGCCAAGTCAAAGAGAAAGTAAGCAGGCAAGCTAGCTTCATAGCTGCTGCGCTATCTCAGGCAGCCTCGGGAACAGCACCCCACTGAACACTAACAGCACACAGCCAAGGGCCTCCCATCATTAATGATTCTGTGCTGATGTACCTCATTCGTTTCCTATCTTCCCATACACACAGAAAACAATTTCTAACTCTCTCCTTCCCTTGCAACTTATTATTCTGGCAGCTTGATGCCTTTAGGAGAAACACCCATTTCCGCTTGAACCTGCATGCTGGCAGCACGTCATTTTTCACAGCAGCTTAGTATTGTACCCCTGACCTCAGATGGGGAGTTGGGAGTGCGGGCCAAGAAAAGTCTAGAACCCTTGAAAGCCTGTAGCTTAACAAACTAAAAATAATCACGTCTTAAAGGAAAGTGCTGTAAACAGTAGAATCTCTAGTAGAATCCATCTTTGTAAGGCTTGTAAAACAGTGACTTAGAATGAAGGATGTACTTTGGAAAGAAACTTTCTCTAAGGTCCAAGGGGCTGGTCTGATGGACTTCCAGAGGGGTGAGCGCCCCAGGCTAGAGCAGGCACAGCCACCAATGTGTACAGGAGGGGAGCGATGGGCTTTCAGTTTCAACCCCTTGGTCTCACATCCCTACCCTGCAGTGATTGGCTGCCTGCACCATCACAGGGCGCTCCAGCAAACCCACTATGGGACGTGTGGGTTGTCCTTATGTTTTGGAGGCCTTACAATGATACCAGCAAGCACCTCCACTGAGGCGCTAAGTTTCACAGATTTTGTCCTAGTTGTCTTATTTATTTTGGGTTTTGACACAGTATAATCAGCCTTCCTTAACCGTGAGTTCTGCATCTGCGGATTCCACCAATTGTAGCTTGAAAATATTTGGAGAAAAATGTGTCTGTACCGAATGTGTACAGAGTTTTTTCTTGTTATTATTCTCTAAACAATACAGCATAACAACTATTTATATAGAATTTACATTGTGTCAGGAATTAGAAATAATCTAGAGCTAATTTAACGTATATGGGGAGATGTGTGCAGGTTACAGGTGAAACTATGCCATTTTATATCAGGGACTTGAGCGTTGGTGGGTGTTGGTGTCTGCGGGAAGTCCCAGGGTGAAGCCCTCATGGATACTGAGGAAAGACTCCAGTGCGCTGGTGGTTCTTCCTACTGAGTCAGCACCCGTCAGGGCGTCCTTGGAAGAAGCACAAAGCCTCCCCTTCTCGGAGGGCTGGTTCACTCTGCGGAGACCTTCCCTGTGGCCTCTGCACAATGTGACCATCTTCAGCTCTGAATTGTAGTGGTGATATGTTCTAGAGATTCTTTCCCTTTTCTTGCCCTTTAACTCTTTGGAAGGTAACGCGTCCTGCACTTGAAAGCAAGTCATGCTGGACCTGCGGCACTGACCTGGAGCTCTCTGGAGAGTACAACGTTTGAGAGGTCGAGGGGAGCAGGGCTGTAGCTGTTGCCCTAGGAAAGCAAAGGCAGAGTCACTGGGTTGCCATTGTTTTCCTGGTTCTTATCAGCATCCCCAACTTCAGCTGTGAAAGATGTGTCCCGAAAAATCCCCGGGTTCATCTTAGACAGTCCCACCTAGGATGCCCCAGGCAGAACGCCCCCAGGTTCTCCACGGGTTCCATCGGCCCAGCGTGGGCCTCTGGGTGTGGTGGTGTACCTGGTTGGCCTGGGACACGCTTCGAAGCTTCTCATTTTCCCGCTGTTGAACCAACGCTTCTCCCTCTTTGGTCCTCTCCACAGTCCAGCCCACAGCTAGCATGGTTTTCAGGGACTCTCGGGCAGGCCAGCGATAAATTTCCTTCTCCTAGAAGAGAATTTGAGCAGAAGCACTTTGCAGAACATATCCCAGCATTCCCCCTGGCCCTTCTCCGCATGGCAGGTGGACCCCGCTGTGGGTGGGGGTGCTAGTTCGCGCCAGCCTTCTCTCACAAGGTCAAAAGATCCTTTGCATCTTACCCGAAACGCAGGCTTTCTGGTGTTTTTAGGTGTAAGACCCTACAGTCTCTCCTGCCCTGGGAGGAAATGTGCCAGGTATTATTAATGACATTATCTACAATCTGTAGGTAAAGAACAGGAACAGGAGAGTGACTCCTCATGTTCTAGTAGTTGCTGAAGATGAGAGCTTGTCAAAATGCATCTGCATAAAGCTCTCCTGTGAGTTTGGGAAAGATAATTTACTAGATTTAGAATTCTTGTGGGCCACGCGCAGCAGCTCATGCCTGTAATTCCAGCACTCTGGGAGGCCAAGGCAGGTGGATCACCTGAGGTCAGAAGTTCGACACCAGCCTGGACAACATGGTGAAACCCCATCTCTACTAAAAATGCAAAAATTAGCCGGGCATAGCGGTACATGCCTGTAGTCCCAGCTACTCGGGAGGCTGAGGCAAGAGAATCGCTTGAATCCGGGATGCGGAGCTTGCAATGAGTCAAGATTGTGCCACTGCACTCTAGCCTGAGTGACAACAGTGAAACTCCAAGACTCCAAAAAAAAAAAAAAAAAAAAAAAAAAAAAAGAATTCTCTTTTGGTCTATGCACAATTTAATAGATAGTCAACATGAATACAAAGATACATACACCATCCTTCACACGTGACACTAGGCCTAGAACTAAAGCTTACAAAGAATCTTACAGATTGCAAGATAAGAAATCAGAGTTGAGTTAAACCAAGTATGTTAAGTAATCAATTTTTTTTTAAGCAAGAGATGCGTTCTTTTAACCATATTTTCTTGAGGATTCTCTTCTCTATTACCTGTGTCTTTCATGTATTAGAAATCATTTTTGGCTGGGCATGGTGGTTCACACCTGTAATTCCAGCACTTTGGGAGGCCGAGGTGGGAGGATTGCTTGAGGTCAGGAGTTCAAGACCAGCCTGGCTAACATGGCGAAACCCTGTCTCTACTAAAAAATTACAAAAATTAGCTGGGCATGGTGGTGCATGCCTATAGTCCCAGCTACGTGGGAGGCTGAGGTAGGAGGATCACTTGAGCCTGGAAGGTAGAGGTTGCAGTGAGCCGAGATCACACCACTACACTCCAGCCTGGGTGACAGAGTAAGAGACCCTGCCTTAAAAAAAAAAAAAAAAGGAAATTATTATTGTCTTTTTTGTTTGTTTCTTTTTTTTTTCTTTTTTTTTTGAGATGGAGTCTTGCTCTGTCGCCAGGCTGGAGTGCCGTGGCATGATCTTGGCTCACTGCAACCTCTGCCTCCCCAGTTCAAGCAATTCTCCTGCCTCAGCTAGTTCTGCCCGGCTAATTTTTATATTTTCAGTAGAGACGGAGTTTCACCATGTCGGCCAGGATGGTCTCTATCTCTTGACTTTGTGATCCGCCCACCTCAGCCTCCCAAAGTGCTAGGATTACAGGCGTGAGCCACCATACCCGGCCTTGTCTGAATTTTTCCCAGCAATTTCACTGCACCTTCTCCTTGCCCTGCCCTGCCCTAACCAAACCCCTTCCTGGTTCAGTTCAGTTGCAGAACTACAAATGCATTTTGGCCCAGCCTGAAAGTGCTGAATGATGCTTCTTTCACCAATGGCCTCTGAAAGCCAAAGAACAGAAAGTGAGGCTGGGCTCTTGGAAACTGGTCCTGAGGCAGTTGCTCACTGGCAAGCTTGTGAACAGTTTACTGAGTCCTAGATGATGTTTTAGGGACTTGAGAGTGAATGTGCTCTGAACTCCTCTGAGCTCCTGATCAAATCACTCAAGGAAGGAAACAGCATGGCCACACAGTGTTGCCAGAGGCCTGTTTCTTACCTTCTCCGTTAATGTCTTGAAAGGCCTTATCAGTGGGTGAGTCTTCACATTTTCATCCAGGGAAATCCCATATTTCCATCCGCTCTGACTCTGTAGAAATGTTCTCAGTTCAAATATCCTTGGCACGCAAAGAACCCCGCTATGTGACCCAAATCCCTGCTTCTATTCTCGTGGAGCAAATGGAATAATGGATAGTGACAGGGCTTAGAAATTCTCTTCAAAAATGCCTAATTGATCCTCTCAGGCCATCAGGCTCTCTGCCTCCCGAATCTTGAACTCTGCTCTTTTATTCCTTGTTGTTTTAGTTGCTGTCCTCTCCACTTTCTCGCTTGTAATTCAGGCCCACTTAAAACAGGATGTTTCAAAAGGCCCTGGGAACAGTGCTTCCCAGGTTAGCGTACCCCCTCCGCAGGAAGAACAGAAGCTAGGACTGGGAGGCCTGGGAAGACTGGACCTATTGCCACTGCCTGGAGGGGCCCATTTGGCTTGCAATCCTTGCCTGCCAGTGCCAGAGCAAAAGTCTAGTGATGTGTGCTTCCCAGAGTTACAGGAGTTTAAGAACTTTTAGGGTTATTCAACAAATATTGGGTGAATGTCTTCTATGGTACACATCAGACTCTGTCCTAGGCACAGTGGATACAGAGATAAGTAAGAGCCCCTGATTTCCATAACTTCACATCCCCAAGGCTTCTGGCTGTTGCTCTTTCTCAATCTCAGCTTCTGTCCATTTGTTAAATGTGTATATTTGCTAAGTTTCTGTCCCTTCTCAAGAGACATATACTCCCCTAGGTGATCTGATTTAGGCCTGTGGTTTCAGTTACCACTGAGAAGAGACTAGTATCAAATCAATACTTCCAGCGCAGAACTCCCTCCTAGTTTCAAACCTATTTAAGTTATGCTTGCATGTTCCACAGGCACCCCTCAAATTACTTCTCTACATGTCTCCTCCTCTCGGGTCCCCTGGATGAAGTGGAGTGAACAGCCCCAGCTTACACTCACTTTCCAAGCCAATGACATGGGAGTCCTCCTTGACACCACTGCCTGTACCCCTCCCATCATTTGTCTGTCTGTCTGTCTGTCTGTCTCTCTCACCCACTTCCCTGCTTGTATGTTAGCTCAGGCCACCATTAGCTCTCACTGGGGTTACTGCAAGAGCTGCTTAAGCAGCCTCCCAGCCTCCAGTCTTGCTGCCTCTCCCTGGATTCATTTTCTACCCTATTGTCCGGGGATATTAAAAAATCACAATCATTTGTGGGCACTCTACTGACTTCGAATGTTTCTGACTGCCAGCTGCCATCCTGGTAAAACCCAAGTCCTTTCAAATGACCTGTAAACCTGAAAAAGTCATCATGCTGACCTCTCCAGACTCACTTCTCACCCTCTGTCCCATCCTACTCCACGTCCTAGCTATATTGAACCATGGTTCCCTAAAGCCAAACTGTCTCTGGCCTCCCTGGGTCTGCACCTGCTGTTCCCAAGGCCTGCAGGGCACTTACCTCCTTGTGACAGATGGCTCTCACTCATCCTTTAGCACATGCTGTACATGTCACCAACTCCGGGAGATGTCCCTGGACCCCCAGTACTGGATTAGGGATTCCTATGTGTTCTAATCCTGTGCTCATGCTCATCATAGCCCTGGACAACCAGCCCCACAATGGCTGGTTCGTTTCGATTCTCCCACAAGATCATGAAGCTTTTGAGGGCAAGGAAAACACTCTTTTATTGTAAGATCATCAGTGCTGCCTGGCACTGGTGAGCAGGCAAGTATCTATGGCCTCATGAAGCTTACCATCTAGTGGCAGAAAGAGATATCAATCAACTATACTAGTAAATGTAAAATTGATAATTAGAATAAATATATAGATGTACAAATGTTATAAATACAAATACCTAAGTGAGCTAGGAAAGTGCTATGAAAGACAAGGACAAGGTGCTCAGAGGGCTCAAAACTGAGAAATCTGGAAAAATGCCATCCTAGGAATTCATGCTTGGAGTGATATTTGCAGAATGAGTTGGTGAACGCTGCGAGCATGTGTGTGAGTACAGGCGGGTATCTGGCAGGCTCCAAGGAGGGTCTACTGGCACATGTAGTGCATATGAGAGAGAGAGAGAGAGAGTCTAAAATAAGGGGAGGTGGCTGGAGGGCAGAGGGCAGAGGAGGAGATGAGGCTAGAGATGGTAGCAGAGGTCAGATCAGGCAGTGCCTACCAGGCCACACCAAAGATTTTGACCATTATCTTCAGAAGAGTTAGAAATTATGAAAGGATTTTAACAAGGAGAAAGGGCTGGGTAGGAAGAGCAGTGGTAGAATATGCATGACTCAATTTGTGTACTGAAACTCTGACTTGCTTGCACTATGAAGAACAGACTAGGCAAATGCACGTGGGGAGACCCGTCAGGAGCTTATGCCAGTCGTCTGGGTGAAAGACGACAGCAGCTTGGACTGAAGTCACAGAACAGAGACAAATATACGGATGTACGAGAGACTCAGGAGTTCAAATCCACATGGTTGAGTGATGGCTTCACTAATGCTGTGGGCTCCTGGAGGTGACTATTCTCCCTAATTCACAGGCTGGCCAAATGGCCATAGGCAAAGAGTTCTTAGAAAATGCAGATGCTCTAAAGCAAGGGCCAGCTGGCTGTGCCCCCTGAGCCAAATCTAGCTGACCACCTTTTTTTTAATTAATAAAATATGATTGGAATACAGGCACCCACTTTTGTTTATGTTTTCTCTATGGCTGCTTTTATGCCACAGCAGCCAGGAGGAGTCATTGCAATGGAGTTGGTCTCGCTCTCGAAGCCTCAAATGTTGATCATTCAGCCCTTTACAGAACAGATTTGTCCTGCTTTAGAATCATGAGGTATCAGCCCATTCTATAGTTACAATGATAGCTGTTACCATCAACCCCCAGTAGACTCATGGACGGATGAGCTGAGCCTACATCCACACAGAGGCTGAGCTGGTGGTTCAAGGTGTTCCTTCTCTGCGGGCACATTGCGTGGAGGTGGTTTTCTGTGCTTTGCTGTGGACATGGGTCCACGGTTACACACTGTAGGCTGCAGCTGAGAAATGGCCCCAGTCCTTAACTGGCTGCCCACAGGAATCCTGGATATCTTTGGCACAGTCTTCCCACTTTGCCTGCCAGTGTTAAAGGGCTGACACAGCAATGAAACGTATGAAACAGCCTGACCTCATGTGGTGAGGAATTCTAAACACCAGATGGAGAGCCATATTAATAAGGGAGTGTCTGGGAGTTGTACCACTGCCTGCCATAGGAAGATGATTGTGTGTCTTCCCTAGAATAAAATCCAGCCTTCCAGAAGCATGCAAGGGTTAGGCTTTCAATTTCATTTTTTTTTTTCCAATCTGCATTCAAATACAAAAATTGGATAGAAGCCTCCCCATTCCCATTAAGCATTTACATCAAACACATACAAGCCTGTGTGTGGGCACAATTCCCGTAAGGAAATGTTAAGAAAGAAGTTAACACTTCCAGAATTGATCATTTTCTTGAGAAACACAAAAGAAACACCAGCAGCTGCTGTCACCTATTTCTGTGACCTCCACCAACCCTGGGAAATTGCTGCTCAGAAATAACGAATGCCGTCGGCATGGAAAATCTGTTACTTCGACAAATCAGGCAGATTTCCAGGACTGGGCCCTTTTAATGTTCTTGGGCTGGTTTTCCCTCCTGACAATTGTCAGCTGGAAGATAATCCCTACCTTGTCGCAGGCCCATTTATCATGTGAATGCTCAGCATACTTGGTGACGATGTATTCCAATTTTTCAGGCAAGGAAAAACTGTGAAACGAGGAAAAAAATATCACAACCTCCCCAAGAACTTCAGCCAGACCTAGTAGAAGATGGTCAGAACTACCAATCAATCAGCTGTCAGAAGGCGGATGTGATCAGCCAGCCAATCCCAAAGCTAAAGTTGCACTCCAGGCACAGTGACATTCCTGAGTAGGAGTGGCATAGCCAGGGTGAGGTCACGGACACACCCAAGTCTAACCGTGGAACATCTCTGCAGGAGCCTTGGCTGGGCAGGCCTCTGCCATGTGCTCTGGGTTCTTTGGGCTCCTGGGCCAGACCTGTCTTGGTTAGACAGTGAGAATCCAAGGTAAATGGCCTGTCATCCTCTGGCTACAATCTGGAAATGGTAGAAATGGGTAGCCAGAGAGCCATATGTTATGAAATAGTGGTTTTCTACCTTTTGGGGCTCGGTGGCTCATGGTAAAATACTAGAATTTTGGAAGTACAGTAGACACCTGCTATTTTTGTTTTCCTAGAAAACAGCTCTGGTCCCTTCTGTTGGTATCGGCACCTGCATTCCCTTTACATTGCGTAGTCTTCTTATATTGCATGCAGTGTTACATGAACTGTCACCAAGGATGGGCACATGACTAGGCAAATCAGACTTTCTCTCCATGGAATTTAAGTCTGGAGTTGGGTGAAACTAGGGCAGTAAACTCTTCAAGGTGATTCACCCAATGGGGACACCTGAAGATTGTCGATTTCCTCACAGTGCCTGATTCCAGTCCTTCCCTGGTGACTATGTGTGCTAAGGCCAGGCTGGCCTTTCACTAGATTTTGACAATGACCCCATATTCTTGCAAAAGGTGCTTTTCTCCTGAAGTAAGCCAGGGTTAATCTCCATTCCTCAAGGAACTATATTGATGTCATGGGTATATGTGAACAAACCTGAACTCTCAAAATAACACAGAGCCACTTGCCATTAACACACAGTTGCTAGAGTATAATGTTTTCTCAGAATGTTTTCAAAAGCATCCAAGTTACTACGCCATTTGCTTTGTCTTTCTTTAACACTGTTACATTTTTATAGGCAGAGTTCTCCGAAGTCAGCACCTGCCTTCTTTGGCCCCAGCTTGATGGTTTACCATGCTCCTTACCTCTTACTTACAGCAGTTTCAATTCTGTCCCACCATCCCACAGCTCAAAGCTCTTTCCAATGGAATGTGTGTTTAATTATCCTGAAGATTACACATTATCAAAGCAGACAGTCCCCCTGGGAAGGGTTCAGGCTTTCATTTGAGAACTACTGCCATGAAAGACAGGTCTAAGGGGCTCATATAGGCTCAGGCTTACTTTCCCTGCTCACCCTGAAGCAGTTTTAGAGCTCTTCATTTAAAGTGCACCTGGAGCCGACTGTATACCCTACAGCACATATTCATAACTACTGCAAACCAAAACTTAGCAATATTTTGCCCAAGGGATAAGCGCACCTCCATGGCCTAGTCAACACCAGTGAGAAATTCTGGAAAATTACAGGGAGAAATTAAAAGGCGCAGTGGTAGGGCTATTCTGAAGTTCCAGCATCCCTCGGCATGGCAAAGAGCAGGTCCAGCTTTTCCAGTGAGGACCGCACACTGTTCTGCCATCACACCCCAGCCTTGCCAGGACTCAGCTGACTGTTATTTATGGAGCTGTTGTGATGTACGATGCTATTAGAACCATATGAGCCTAATTCACCAAGAGCAAAGATTTTGTCAAAAAGCTCATTAATAAATTAATTGCATAATTTGTCAGGGTAGTTCTCTCAGTGCCTCAGGAGACATTTATTTGTGGGAGCATCTATCTCTGGTAATAAATAAACCAACCCTTTCCTCCCCCACCAAAAGCCCAGAATATAGTAATACAGATATGTATGGATTAAACCTTGTGCCTGATGGGACTCGTCAAGAGAAATGATGAACAGCGTTGGCAGGAGGGAAAGAGGTAAAGCTCACATTTCTTGCTGCCCTCTGGAAGAAAACATTGGTTACTGGACAAAATACAGGACCAGCTTAGAGATGATTCTGGACTCACTTCACAGTGTTGATAGGTTTGGGATCAAAGTTGCCATCTGCATCCACTGAGATCTGTTTCTCCAATGTGGCTGTGATTCTGGTATCTAAATAATCCGGTGGCAAGGCCCCAGCTATAGCACTGAGACAAGGCAGGGCCATTCGGAAAAGATCTGGGTCATATTTCTGTGAGGGAAAAACAAGGCCACGTTAGCAGAGAAAGCAGAACCATGTCCTTAGACAGAACCATGTCCTTAGACAGAACCATTCACCAATCAGCTGAAAACAAATAAAATACACGCATTTATCCAGGTTAACCAAAGCGAGAAATGTGTAACCCCTTAAATATCTTCTGGTGGAAACGAAGGTATCCTTGGAGGATGAACTAACACTCTATAAAGCCCTCAAGTCACCATTTGCTTTAAGTTGAAAAATCTTAAACAGGTTTAAATCGATGTCTCCTAAATGGTTAATTTCAAGACCAGCTAAGGGTTAAAGTGACTAGTCGCTAGGCCAGAAGTGACTATAAACTTGTCTGCTAAGGATGGTCACAGAAACGGACCCAACTTACAACTGCAGAGGGCATAGCAAGCTGTGCCAAGCTCTGTAGTGGCTGATATGGGTCGTATGTTGACATCAGCAGCAGGCTGCTCAATATCCATCATTCTCTCTTGAACCCAGCCAGAAATGAATTTCAGTCAAATAGCATGGGGTTGGGAAGAGCTTTTGATCTGCTTACACTAGACCAATGAAATCCAGGGGTAAAGAAAATCTAAGTGCAGGTGAACGAGCTATATGCGTGTTCTACATTTCTCTAAGAAACCCAGACCTGCTCACTTTCTACCTTTAAAGCTGCTGACCTCACAAACTGGGTTAGGGGAAGTGGAGCAAAGTCTGAGTCAGAGCTCTACTTCAATCACACCGTTCGGTAAGGCCTGGGTTTCAGAGGCTCTGAGCTCTCACCCGACGCCTCCTCAAATGAGTGCGTGGGAAGAACCTCTCCCAGCATGGCTTAAGGTCTTCTGGAAATCCCCTGTCCCACCATCACAGCAGATGTCAGGGCTTTTCCTCTTGGCTCGAGCCTAGTGAAGGCTGACAGACAGGAGCCGCACCAAATCAGGGGGAAACGAATGGGGAGGTAAGGCATCGAGACTGACATCAGAGGATGTGTGTGTCGTTTACTCTGGTAGTCACTTTCCCATGTACAGCTCTGTGAATGTGAAAATTTATTCAACTACTCCGAGGCTTTGCTTCACCTGTAAAATAAGGATTTTAAGAGTTTCCATTTCAGAGAGAGAGGCAAGAATTAGCGTAATATGCTTGTAAAGTACTTAGCACAGGTCCTGGCAAACGGAACGCTAAATAGATGATGGCTGTTATTATCTGTAGGTGCTGGGGCACTGAGATGCTCTCTTTTTGCTCAGAAAGTACCGTCATTACCTTATGGGAGAGAGAGTCAAAAATCCCCCAGAAAAGCTTCTCCGTTAGGTGCAGCTCTTCTTCCACAGCTAGCCCATAGCTCCCCCATCCTGAAGGCAGGCAGTAATATTTCCAGCACTGTTCATAGTGATTCGTCAGAAGCTGGGAGGTCCAGAACAGGAGAGACCAGCGGGGTGGGGTGGCGAAAGTCCACGGGCATCAGAAACATGCAGGAGAGAATAAAATAGCAAGCAGAGATCATGAGAATGAAACATGTGAAACAGCTGGGCTGTCAACAAAGAGGCCGTTCAAACACCACTGGGAACAGTCTGCTCTCTGCCTAATGAGCTTGAGCCTGAGCGGATCTGCCTGATTAATTCTTGTGCCTCCTAACGTGCCCCTAGCAGTTACTGGAAAATGGAGAGGAGCCATTTCTAGTTCAAACGAGAGAGTGCTACCTTCTGAAAGTAGTCACCGTGTGCTGTTCTAGCCAGTCAGGGGTGGAAAGAATTTCTTCTGGGACCTTTGCTTGTAATTCTGGGAGATCTTGGGGGGAATGCTGATATGGGGAGAGGATGG